TTGAATCTCTTGGGTTTTCTAGGTATAGGATCATATCATCAGCAAATAGGGATAGTTTGACTTCTTCCTTACCAATTTGGATGCCTTTGATTTCCCGAGATTATTCTTTAGTGTTGCATAGTATTCCATTGTGTGTATGTACCATAGTTTGGTTATCCATTCCTCTGTTGATGGGCACATAGGTTGTTTCCATCTTTTTTGGTATTGTAAATAGTGCTGCAGTGAACATGGATGTGCATATGTCTGTTCTTGTCCTGACTCTCATTTCTTCAGGATATATACCTATTAATGGGATTGATGGGTCAAATGGTATTTCTAATTCCAACTTTTTAAGGAATCGCCATACTTCTTTCCACAGTGGTTGTACCATTTTACAGTCCCACCAGCAGTGTATGAGTCCTGATCTCTCCACATACCAGTTGTGAGGATTTTTGTTTTCTTTGTGTTGAAATGTAATCCATACTGAAGGCTGTGGTCTCTGATCTTCATCAGTAAGTGCTTCAAGTCCTCTTTGCTTTCAGCAGCAAGGTTGTGTCATCTGCATATGGCAGGCTGTTAATGGTGCCATCTTCTTCTTCGTGTAGTCCAGCTTCTCTGATTATTTGCTTAGCATACATCTTGTGCCTTTACCAGTGTTAAAAGCTTTGTTGCTAGTCTGATAAAGCCCAATGGAACCCCTGAGACTGTGGCCCCTAGCTGCCCTTCAGGACTGGAACTGAACCCACTCCTGTGGCTTCCAGCCAAACAAAACACAGGCATAAGAGGTGAATGTTTACCTGAGGTAGATACACTCCTTGGAGAAAACAATCATGGGATAATACAAGGGCTATGTGTGCACAGGGAGACAGCTCAGGGGGCAGAAGTGCATGGAGGGATGGACACAGGGAAGAGGTAACTATGGGGAAGAAGTGGGAAGAGAGCTGTTGCGCTGTGGGAAATTGCAATCAATGTCATGAGACAAAGTGCATGTGAGCTGCTGTGTGGAAAATGAATTTGTTCTGTAAACTTTGGCCAAAATGACAATAAATTTTTTTTAATCAATAAATAAACCAGCCTTTGTATCCTGAGGTGGTCTGCAGAGATTGCATGGACTAATATTTAATTAGGTCAAGATACAGGTGCCTGAAGTCCACTGACCCAGTGTCTACCCAGTATAGGTGGGGATGCTAACAGAGCAGAGGGCAGGTGCAGCCTGGGGCTATGCCCAGCAGGCCAGGAAGAGGCTTGGTGCAAAAAGGGCAAGGAGGCCACATGTTCTGACCTCCTCTAATCCCACAAGAGGAAGACCGGATTACCAGAGTAACCCAAAGCCTATTCCTACAAGGCCAGACATGCTGCCTCCCTCCAGCCCTTTCTCCAACCGTTCCTCCCAAAGCACCCACCACCTCTCTCCTGGGTTCGATAATTCGCTGCAGTGGCCACACAGAACTCACAGATTATGGGTTTTATTAGGGAAACACCACAGGCTACAATTCAAGTTCAGGAAAA